CAGCCCTTCGTTACCCACCTGGCAGTTTTGAACTGTAAACCTCAGAGTCTTTTCCTATACTATTTCTATTATTTGGATACCTTCTCCAGGCAATTGGTCATTTGGGGGGTCTTGGCTTAAGTATCACTTTCTAGAGAGACCCGACTTGTCCCGTGTGATCTAAGTTACGTTCTGTTATTTGCTATCTTAACCCTCTACCTTTTTTTTAAAATAAGAAATATCTGACTGGGGATGTAAGTGGCTTAGTAGTATAGATAGCACGTGATTATCCTGTTTGATACCCTGATTTTGATCCCCAGCCAGAGGCATCAAAAAAGACTATATTAAATATAATATTTGTGTTTAATATCTTTAATATTTAATATTTAATATCTTTCAGAGGTAGGGAGAGCAGTTGTCCCTTAACCTCTATAAAGCCCAGCATAGTACTGTATAATATTTGGGTTGGGTTATTGATAGTCAAAGTTCCTCCAGGGAGACATACAAGTATTGGGCAAATGGGAAAATTCCACTCAGTAGAAGTGTGGGTAAAGAGACAACCAAGAAACATCACCTCATAGGAAGAGAGTTATCTTTGGTGTTTACTTCTTTTTTTTTTTTGCTTTTTGGTCACACCTGGCCATGTTCAGGGGTTACTCCTGGCTCTGCACTCAAGAATTAACTCCTGGCGGTGCTCAGGGGACCATATGGGATGCTGGGAATCGAACCTGGGTTGGCCGCGTGCAAGGCAAACGTCCTACCCGCTGTGCTATCGCTCCGTCCCCCTGGTGTTTACTTCTAAGGTGGGATAACTTTGAGATGATGGATGAAGGGGCTGGGCTGCACGGGCAGAGCTCCAAGTGTCAGGCAGACTGGGGCCCGGGCTTTGCTGAGCTGGGTTAAACCTGACATGAGTGGGTGATCGCATCGTGTTGACTTGGAACCACCCCAGTAGGAGAAGCTTGGGTCCAGAATTTATGCTTTTCCAGTGCCCTTTGAGAGATTTTTAGTGTTTTTATAAAAACAAAATCCCAGTTCTCCTTCCTTCTGTACTTTTGTACCCTTACCCTCAAGAGGGAAGCAGAAAGGAAGGGAAAGGTAAGAAGAAACACTGGCATCCCCACGCAACACCTGATTGAACTCTTATCCAAGACTGCTTGTCTTCAGTACCTTCCTCTGGGGAAAAGCAGGAGGCAGTTCTAAGAACTGTTCTCTCTGGCCAGTGGGGAACTGTCTGTACCCATTCCACCATGGGTGGGTGGGTCACTTGAAAGGACATTTAATTCAGTACACACATTTTCACATAAGAAAAATTTACTGTCCCTCTGGCCAGTGGGTCATATAAAAGGATTCTAATTTAACACAGAAACACACACATACGCACAGCAAGGAAAATTTGCTGTCAAGCTTTCAAGTCATAAAGTATAAAGGTCATCTCTCTGTTGCCATTCCAGTTGCTCCACAACCCAGCCCCAAGTGCTGCCTTCTGCCCCATTATTGTAAGTCACTTCGAGAATTTCATGTGTATATATACACATAACAGAAAACCCACAACAACCCGGTTCTGCTTTGTTTCTACTTGCTTGGTCCCAAAGTATCTGTGTGCACTTTTTCTGTTCCTGCTCCCTTGAGAACAGCTAGACAGCCGCCCGAGATACCTCCCAACAATGCCTGAGTGGAGTTCTCAGAGGATGCAGTGAACTGTCCCAAGGCCAGCTGAGAGCGTGCCGTGCCCCTGGAATCATTTGACTGCCTTTCCCCCTTTGACTTCAGAGCGTAGGCAAGTGCGGAAAGTCAGGTCACCAAAATTTGTATTTTATTAGTTCCACTTTGTCTATGGCAAGTAGTATAACCTCTTCTTGCCTCAGTTTTCCTCAGGTCAAATGGAGCCACCATCCTATCTCATGAGTTTCATGTAAAAATGCAATGACCCAGTGACATAAGCATGCAGTAGGTGCTCATTAAATACTAGCTTATGTGTTTATTAATATCTTATAGTTAACAAATTCATCCTTGTAAATAGACTTTCAGATTGTTAAAGATTTAACAACTGAGCGCTTTCTTATGGCAGTGGTATATGACATTATTTCTTAAAATGAAACTGTAACTCTTAATAAATTCTATGAAGAAGCAAAATGCCTTCCACGTGGTTGATTTTCTTTCTCCTGCGACATGATTTTACCAAGAAAAAGTAGAAACGTAAGCAGATACATTTGATGTACGTTCACACAATATTAAGATCTCACTTTCGGTTTCTAGAGGAATATAAAAAAGTACCTCAACATTTGTTGTGGATTGTCTCTATTATGTTTGTAAGTGTAGAAGAAATGTTTTGTTTGAAATATTCAGTTAAGCCCTTAAAATAGTACTCAAAAGATTTAATCATATTTATAGTCTCCTTATTAAGTGAATGTATTATAGAGCACTTGGAAATTCAGACAAGCATAAGGAGGAAAATTAAAACCTTCCCTAATCCTAAAATGTGGTTCTTAATATTTTGACACATTTTCAATAGATGACATGTGTTAAAATTTAATTTGGTATTTAGGTTTCTCATGTAGCTGCATATTTTCACTTACTAACCTAGCCTATCATTAAATGTTCTTTACAGTATGACTTGTAAATAACTGTGTGGTATTCTGCCTTATGAATGCTCTAGAACTGATTTCCATTCATTTCACTTAGAAGAACAATGTGATGAACATCTGTCATGAACATCAGATTTTTCCATGATGGAGAATATAGGGTAGCCCCCAGAGTTTGGGCTCATTTGTCTCCATTGTCCATTTCTTTGTTCACTTGATAGTGAGCCTGTTTCTCTTGCTCTCCTCTTCGTGAGTTCTATTTCTCTGGCTTACTCATTTCAGACTCTTGCCTATGTTGGTTTAGGGTATTGTGTTTTTCTTGTGTTAGAAAGATTTTTTTTAAATGAAAGATGGGTATTAATCCTTAGTCAGTTATTACAGTGACTTTCCTTTCCTATTTGTCTGATCATCTCCAATTTAAAACAATTATTTGGCAGACGGTGGATAGTATTTGATGAAAAAGGCCATTTTCTTTTTTTTTAAATTTTTTTATTTTTTTATTTTTTACATTTTTATTAGTGAAACACCATGAGCAAAAGTTACACATTTACAAATTTTTGTTGTTGGGTTTTGATTATACAATAATCAAATGCCCATCCCTCCACCAATGTCCATTTTCCACCATCATGGTTTCCAGTATCCCTCCCAAACCCATCCCCCCATCCCACCCTGCCTCTGTGGCAGGGCATTCCCTTTTGTTCTCTCTCTCCTTTTGGGTGTTGTGGTCTGCAAAAAGGCATTGTGTGGCAATCATGTTCAGTCCATAGTCACAATTTTTTTTTTAATTTTTTTTTGTTTCTTTCTTTTTTTTTTTTTTACAGTTGTAGATTTACAATTTTTTGTGCTTGGGTTTCGATTATACAATGATCAGATACCCATCCCTCCACCAGTGCCCATTTTCCACCACCATGGATAATACCCCCCACCCCCATCCCCCCCGCCTCTGTGGCAGGGCAATCCCCTGTGTTCTCTCTCTCCTTTTGGGTGTTGTGGTCTGCAAAAGAGGCATTGAATGGCAAACATGTTCAGTCCATAGTCTACTTTCGACATGCATCTCCCCTCCTGGGAGGATCCTCCAAACACCCGAAAAAGGCCATTTTCAGCCAGGATAATCCATGAGTTCTGAAATGGTTTCTTTGTCTCCTCATTCTGTGTAAAAAGTGAGCCATGGGACAGAGAGATTACATCATAGTCATAAAGAAGCATAGTCGGGGATGAGTACACGGACCCTATTCCCCATCCCATATGTGGATTTCAGTAATCAACCACTTAGATCTGCCTTCCCTCCACCTAGTATATTGTCCAAGATTAGAAATGATGAAAAGAGTGAGCATTTTTTTCTTTCCAAGAACTGTCAGAAGACCCCCAGCAGGCTGACCCTTGAGTACATGGCATAGCCAACTCTGGACTCCATCTCCTCATGCCCCTTCCCACTGCTATGGGTGGAGGGTACCTCCTGCACCTCCTAAGGAACCCGCTCTTCTCTCACTTAGACCTGCCTCCTTGGCATCTGCTGCTTACAGCTCTCCACGACAATCCCCACTGCTCTCCAGAATGCCATGGTGAGCACCAAGTGCTTCTCTGCGACTACCCAGCCCCCCAGAATCATTGCCCACTCTAGGGCTGGCTATGCTGCAATATCTGAGTACCTACTTTCTGTTAGGCTCTAAGACCTGTCAAATGAGGAAAGCAAAGGCCATGACTTCTAGAGGGCAAGTGCTTCTGGAGGGACACAGACAAATAAGCGGGCGAAGGTGGCCAACTCAGGGACAAGTCTAGAGGGGGCCTTATTTGATCTGTTTCAGGAAGGTGGGGTGGGAGGGCAGAGACTGTGGCCCTGCCTGATCTCTGCCATCTTGGGCCTCAAAACTGTACGCTCTTCCGTTCCACATGCTGAGAGTGTAAGGGCTGGCCACTGAGTTCGCCTACATCTTCAGGTGCTATGGCACGTGGTCAAGAGATAGATAGATACCTGGGATCGGGGTTGGGTTTATAGCATGATCCCTAGGAAGATCCCTCAAATTCCTCTGGACCTCAGTGTCCTCATCTAAACATTGGGGACTGCGCCCCTTGTGAACTACCGCAGTGGGTCAATGAAAAGGTACCATGAATGCCAGGCAGGGAGGAAAGCCCAAAGGCGCCACATGTGAGGGTTATGTTGTCACACTTGGAAGCTGCCTCCTTGCTCTGTGCCTGGTGGAAAATTAGCACAGAAGAAATGGAATCATTCTGGCAGCCTCCCCTGAGGTCAGCAAAGAGCCAAGACAGGAGTGACCTCAGCAGACCCCCTGTCTGTGTTCCTGGTGGGTAGGAATGTGCTTAGGGTGTGCCCTCTGCAGGGGGTGGGGCCTGATCCAGCCTGCCTCCCCACTCTCATCCTATGCGGAGTGCAACGGGCATTGAACCTGGCAGCCAGCCTCCTCCATCTCCTCACAGGATGGAACTCACAGAGTATGCTGAGCTCTTGAAAGAATCTGGCAACAAGGTTTTTAAGAATGGAAACTTCTCTTTGGCCATCACAAAGTACGATGAAGCCATCCAGGTTCTCCTGCAGTTATACCAGTGGGGGTAAGTGTTTGGATCTTTCTCCCCACTTTGTAAAAAAGTAAATGGGGAATCATGCTGTTGCTTGCTTTCTTCTCATTTATCAGCCCATCTTGTCTCTGTCCTTTTTCCCTTCCATCTTGTCACCAACCTCCTGGACTTATTTAATTTTTTGTGTCAGCTCAGAAACTGAGCATAAATTACTAGAGTGATACCGGAAATTGAAATTGAAACATGGGATTGCTGATAAATATGAAAACTTCCCTTTCACTCCAGTTATCTGGGAAGATTGAAGTCTTCAGACCTCTCAATCGTCATTAATTTCCTCCTCTTGAGTATCCATGTCACTTACTCCTGGCCTCAGTACATCCCGTCATAAATTGAGGCTCATCGCACTCCCCTGCCCTTTCAGCTTTCAGAAGATCTCCCAAACAAGTTAGCATCAAGACATGTAAAAATTAAAGATAACAGGGCTGAAGAGATAGTATAGTGAGGAAGGTGCTTGCCTTGCTTGAAGCTGATTTGGGTTCAATCCCTAGCATCTCGTGTGATTCTCTGTATAGCATTTGGAGTGATCCCTGAGCACAGATGCAGGAATAAGTCCTGTTCACTGCTGGATGTGACCCCCAAAACAAGAAACAACGACAAATTATAGAGAGCGCTGGGAGATGAGATGGAGAATTGGAGCATGTGCTTGGCATACAGGAGGAGGGGTTTGTTACCTGGCTGGTCTCTCCACTATAGCACTGTCAGGAACAACCCCCGAGAAATGTGCTCAGAATAGCTCCTAAGCACCGTGGGTGTGGTCTAGGCCCTCCTGCCCCCCCCACTATGGAGTCCTTCCAAGAACATTTATTTATGTTGGTTGTTGTTTTCAATATGGTCTATATTAGAACTTAAAACAGAAAATACACATTTATTATCTATTTAATATCAACAGTGACCCATTACATGTTAATATCAGTAACATTCTTATGAAAAATCTACATTTTCCAAGGCACAATATTTAGATAGATGATCAGTCCAATAGAGTTCATCTGGCTTCTCACATCTGCCTATAATTTCAGTGTTCTGGGATAGTTCAGGTCATTAAGTTTTGGAAAATTTTGTTCATACATGTGAGAGAAATATGTAGAAGGCACATTGATGCAGGAGATGTGGCTTGGGTATCAGTGGCCTCCTGCCCACATTGGGAATGGCCCTGGTGCCCTAGAGCACCACAGTGTGAGCGCATGACAGGTAATAAAAGAAGGCATAATTCCTTAGTACTTATTGCATTAGTTTTCTATTGCCAGTGCAATGAATTGTGACAAATACAGTGATTCAAAATGATAAAAACTTACTATCTTACAGTTTTAGAGGTCAGAAATTCAGAATGAATTACATGAGACTAAAATCACCAGGCTCCTTGGGGAAGAAACTCCATTCCCTTGCCTTTTTCAGCTTGGGTGGCCAATTGTTTTCCTTGGCTTGTGACCCCTTCTTCCATCGTCAAAGTGCATCCTTCCAGGCTGCTTCTGCTACCACACTGCCTTCTCCCCTGCTGTAGCCATACCACCTTCTCATAGGACCCCTGTAGTTGTAATATAATCCAGGATGATTTTCTTTTCTTAAGACCCTTTATGTTAATCACACCTGCAAAGTTCCTTTTGTTATGAAAAGGTAACTTTATTTGGGTACTGTGATTCTGCTGACTATAATTGTGAAAATGTTTTGACCTACAGACCGCCTGAAATGGTTCTGAGGGATTGCTAGAGGGTTCCAGATCCTCTACTAAGTAAATGAAGCAAAGGTTGGCCTTTGCGGGGTACACTAGCTACAGGTTGTACTGATAGATGATACTGGATTAAATTACTGAAACCTCCCTCACTCCTGTCACCTGTGTCTATGCTTGAGTTTTATTTGATCGTGATTGGCATGATTCCTTACTTATGTCACTCCTTCCCTCCTGTGTCAGATAAAAACTTCCCTCGTTTGGGCAAAACATCCAGCTTCCTTAAAGAGGTAGTGTTGTATAATGGTTATGACTATAGACTGACCACACAGTGATTGTTCTAATATCAGCTTTCCCACTAACTGGGGGAACGTCTTCCTAAATCCTCACATACTGCTTTCATGGGGCCTTTCTGATACTTCTCTGTCACCTATTGCTAAGAACTTACTTACCCTTTCCAGTGCATGTGGTTTCTCCTAGGAGAAGAGGTGAGGGACGCAAGATGGGGCAGGAGAATGTTCCAAGAAGGGATGGTGTCTCATCTGGAGACACCTTTACCCTGATCTTGTGGTACCTTTACATCATGAGTCATACAGCGGAGCTGGTTCTGCCTTGGGTTCAGGAAATGACCTTTTGATTTCCATATCTGGCAATCATCAGTTGCAGGCTGGCTAACCCCAAGAAATCTTAATGAATGGCACTGTGTATTAATCATTAGCTAATGTATTAATGTATTAGCCCAAGCTAATACATAGCAACATGCCCTAGATTGGGTGATATAAACAATTTTGTTTCTCACATTTCTAAAAACAGAAGGGGGGGACAAGGTCAGGTGGTAGGCAGTTCAAATCCAGGAATAACCCCATACCTGGATTGCAGACAACTGCTTTGTCACTGTGTACTCTATGGTAGGGAGGGAGAGAGGGGAGCTCTCAGGTAGGATTCTATTTATAAGGACACGAATCTTATCAAGGAGGCTCCACCCTCTTAGCACCTATTATGCTGTGGTTATGGCTCTCTTGTCAATCACCGCTGATCACCCACCACCTCAGCTTGCATTTGGGGCCTCAACTCTTCCTTCATTATGAGGAATGAAGGGCAGTGAGAGGCTGGACATGCAGAGCACTGAGGGAGGAGACCAGTATTTTCACAGTCGAAATGTTAGATTTATATAGAAGCATCAACCTTGGTTTTCACAGTTGGATTTCTTGCTTGAATTTCATTGGCACCTGTTGACACATTATGTGCATTCTGTGTTTTCCTTAATTTGATCTGGTTTCACCACTGACTTTGCAGCTGTTTATTCCCAAGACCAGAGAAGCACCCCCCTTGCCCTGCTCCAAGGCATGTGTTGGTCATCGCCCAAGGTTTTTCTTCCCACAGACAGGTGCCTTACGGGGTCCTGGCTTTACCCACCAAGCGCCTTTGATCCCCTTTGCTTCACATGGTGGGTGCCATGACCCTGGATTTACCTTATTGAACAGCTTGATTTTTGGCCTTGACCTAGCATTGTACAGTAAGACTCAGTGTTGTGATGAGAACATTCTGTCGTATAGAGTGTGGCTCATGAGTGCTCTGCAGCTAAGGAACTAAACTTCTAACTTAATTAGAATTAATATAAACAGAACTCACTGCCTGTGACTCATGGCTGTTGCTGTTGTGTTGTGCAGTGAAGATTAGCCACAGAGGGTGTGGGCCTCCATCTGTACTCTGGATCCGGGTTCTGTAGATGTTAGGGTGACCCAGCCTATCGAAGAGGACAGAACCATGTACCTCTTGCTCTTGTCCCAGTGAGGCTCTGGGCCAGGTGTCATCACATGTTCTGATGGCCTATCCTGAGTGCCCCCTCTGTTCTGCTGGAACCTGTGTACAGAGTTTGGAGTGAGGTCAGGCTTGGTTCAATGGAGAGCAGGAGAGGGTACAACCAAGGTCAGTTGAGAACACCTTTTCCCATGGAAAGGTTCATCAACTGGTGTTTGGAAGGGAGGAAGGACTGATTTGTACATTGCCTTGCCCCCCGCTTTCTAGGTGACTAGAGATTCAGATGCCAGAAGCATACCTGGAAACTTTCTTGGTGCAAACCTTTCCTGCCGGCAGCAGCCAGTGTCAGAATGGTGGGCCTCGAGGATGATTTGGTGTAGTTGCAAAAATATAATTTTACTGACCCCCCAGTTTGTTCTTGTTCACAGGGTTCCCCCCAAGGACGTGGCTGTGCTGCTGTGCAAGAAATCCAATGCCTTTTACAGCCTTGGGAAGTGGAACGAGGCATTTATGGCTGCCAAGGAGTGTCTCCAGTGGGATCCGACCTACGTGAAGGTATGGTACTCTCCTGGAGCAGCTGTTGCAGCATCCTTCCCCTTTTTTAAGACTGGAAATTCTGGGGGTGCAACTCATTCATCTCTCCTTGGACTTCAGACAGATGCCCATAGTGCCAGTGAGCTGTGCCTGAGGGAGAGGTGAACCTGAGAGGCCCAAGTGTTGAAATATGCTTGGAGGGGAGAGCAGAGCGGAGTCCGTGCCAGCTGGGGTGCAGTGGAGGCTGTGGTGGAACTTGTTTTGTTCTGATGTAGTTACACCAAAGCTCAAAAGTCTGTTCATGTTCAGCTTAGAAGTTTCCTTTTAGTGATACTTCTTCCATTTGCAACTGGGGTGGATGCCTTGACACGATTCTTTAGAAAGCTTTTCCAAGGGTCAAAAGCAGCACCTTTGGAATATTCTCAGAAGTGTGAGAGGCCAAGACGGCCTTTAAACTATTCATAAAGGTGAAAGTATGAGCATTTGATTGGATTTTCAGCAAAATGCTTGGAGTGCCGCTCTGCATACTGTCACATACTGTCACATTCTTGGTGCCTCATGATTGGGAGAAGGAGGATATGTGGGGGAGGTTTGACTCCCCCGCCAATCCTTGGGGGATATAATCTATTTTACCCGGTTAAAGATAAACTGAGTGTTATGACCCTTTGTAAGAGTTAATTTGAGTAGAAAATCAATTCAATAAGGCAGTGCTAAAGTTGGAGCAACTAAGAGTGGGCCACTTAGGGCAGGGTTTGGGGAGACTGTTACAGGGAACATAGAGAGGGAAGGCCAGGAAGGGGTTGATTGGCCTAGTTGGCTCTTGAGTGATCTTCCTTAGGTTTTGACTTCATAACCTTGAGGTTATTTATTTGCAAATGCAAAATTTGGTATATAAATAAAACTATTAAATTAATAATTCCCTCTTTTGACTAAATTCTCATATGTCAGAAACTGACCCTACAAATACCGTTCTCAATCACTATCAGAGTTACATTGCTTTTGTCATATTGTGGAACTCAGAGGTTATGATGTCACACCCCCGGAAGATATGTTTTTGCTATTCATCTCATTACTTATCTTGTTTCTGCTTCTCCAAGTGCAGTCACACCATCTGACACACTGCTGATGGCTGCCAACATGCATTTAAGACCTTTGAGAGAACGTAGTACACCAAGGAGACTACCGTGATAACTATTAGGTGGATAATACCGAGACCAAAGAATGCTTCTTAACTAGGGCCCCCATCAACCAATCCAGTTAGTATCAGATAAATCAAAGAACAAGCCCAAAAGGAACATCAACCTGTTTTAGCCTAGCGATTTTTTTGTTAATTTCTCATATTTTTGCTCCAGTATCAGAAGTATTGACCCAAGTTCAGCAAGAGGTATTTGCTGGGACACAGTAAATAAAGAAATTTTATTAGATGAAACACTTTGACAAGAAAGTCCAGGAATTTCTATTGTGCAGCTATAGGCTACCATGGCTTAGAGCCACTTCAGTTCAGTGGTCTCTTTCCTATTTTAATTGTTTTAACAACACTAGACTTTATTGAAGGACAGTGACTGGAGGCCTTGAGCAGTCTTGAAAAGAGGAAAAGCACTCTTCTACATCATTTTAAATAGAGGGCAGTGAATTGTGGAGATGTAAGAAAAAGGGAAGGACTTTTAGGCTGTGGGGCCTGCAAATGCTGAGAAAATAAATGAGTGGAGGGAACTAAAGTTGATCCTAGCGTGGTTGATCCATCTAACTGCCAATGTTGACTTTCTCATGGCCAGGAAAATGCCCTGGAAGGGTGGATTTGTGGCAGTCCTCATTCCTCACTTTCTGACTTGAGTCAGAAACAGAGAGCTCTGGGGAATGCCTTCTTGGATCTATTAGCTGTCAAATGCCATCAACTCCAAATAGCCAAAGTGTCCTGTTCTGGGTGGTATATTATGCATACCTTCATCTATTACCAAAATTAAAGGTGATGCTTAACCAGGCCAGAGTGGTAGTACAGTGAGTGGGTTCGGGTGCTTGCCTTGCACACAGCTGACCTGGGTTTGATCTCTGGCATCACATATAATCTCCTGAGCCCGCCAGGAGTGACCTCTGAGCACAGAACCAGAAGTAAACCCTGAGCACCGCCAGGTGGGGCCCAAAAACAAAAACCAAACAAAAAAATAGACATTTAAATCTGAGGAAGTCAATAGAACAATGGAATAGAAAATTCTCTGTTAGATACCATGGTTGGGAGGGAATTCCCCCCGCCTCCTGTTATTATTGTTAACTAAGTTTTAGATTTTTCAATGGTTTAAAAACATCAATAACTGATCAATAACTTATTGAGATTGGGGATTAAGTAGAATTTTTTAAAGTGCTTCTGTTTTTATGAACTCAGTTGAACACCTTCTGTTATGTTAGAAAATTGCTTTGGTAGATCCTGATGCTGATTCTCTTAGATGGTCAAAGTGGAGAAGGCAGTAAGTATCATTTTGTTCCTACTCAAAGAGTCCTGTGGCAACACTATACCATTCTCCTTTAGTAATAATCGTAATTTCCCCATCTACATAGACCCCAGTGCTTGTCCTTCCCTTCTTCAGTCCCCTGCACGTGCTCCATGGAAATAGTGTTTATTTTGCTTGAGAGGAGCTGGGAATGTCTGTGCTTATGTGGCATTCTCATTCTTCTGTGAAGTACTGCAGTCACAGAATTCTGTTCACTCCTCTCTTCTTGCCCAGGCTGTGATTAGAGATCAATAAAAATCAATAATAATAATAATAATAATAAATTAGATCAATAAGCCACATGTATCATTGGAACCAGGTCCACTCTGTTCCTTCTGTCATTTTTCAGATGCCACCTAGGTCACGGGTCTGAAAGTGATGATTTTCTTGTCAGTTAAAAGCTGGCAGGGAACATGAGGCATGTACTAGAATGTGGGTTCCTGTGGCCAGGGCTTGTTAGAAAGCTGGCTTCACTCAGTAGTGGGACTCCTGGAGGCCATATTCCTAGGCCATCAGTCTGACCTTCACAGAGGGTTCGAAGAGATGGATGTGTTACAGTTTGCTTTTGTTCTGTTCCAGGGATATTACCGAGCTGGTTACTCATTGTTGCGTCTGCTCCAGCCTTATGAAGCTGCTCGCATGTTTTTTGAGGGTCTGCGTCTTTTACAGGGCAGTCACGACCAGACACAGGTTGCGGATTTCCTTGTGGGAGTCTTCACCACTATGGGCAGTAAGTTGGACCAGGGAAGCTTTCTCTATTCCCCTCACTCTTTCTCCTCTCTCTCTCTCTCTCTCTCTCTCTCTCTCTCTCTCTCTCTCTCTCACACACACACACACACACACACACTCACTCTCTCTGTCTCTGTCTCTGTCTCTGTCTCTGTCTCTCTTTATTGTTCTTTTATTTGAGTACCTCCTGGAGATAGAATTCCAGGGTGTTTCTTTGTGGCTGATTTATGTGCTCTTGGAATGATGCTGGTTTTCACATTCAAACGCATTTTGGAAATTTGTGTGGCTCATGCCTTTATCAAAACAACAAAGTCCTTTTGTATGAATTTCCTGATTTTTTTTGGAACTTATATTTTCTGTGTTGCTGTTCACAGAGGTCTTCATATTTATACTAATTGATTTATGTCGCTTTTTTCTCTTTCTGCTGAGTTATGCATACATTTTTGGACTCTGTTAAGAAAATATTCTTGTTTGCTGTCGGAGGGTCTTGTGACGGCTCTCAGGATGCCTGAGACTCACTGGGTAGGAGACCCACCTTCTCAATATACCAGGATGCACTGTAGGCCATTTTGTATGCCTCAGTTGGGTTATAACTTGGATGAGTTGGCTCTGTCAGGGACCTCAGTCAAGCAAAACCAGAAACCCATCAAGAATAATATAGTGTGTGAGGTGCTGGGGACTGAACCCAGGGCCTCACACATGCAAGGAAATTAAGTGCTTTACCAGTGAGTCCTGACCTTCTAATATACTTCTGAATGGAGACAGAAGAACTCATTCTCTGATTATCTTAACGTAGCCTGAAAGTTCCATCAGTGACAAGACCACTATTTCCAGATACTGTTTAATCACATTTAAGATAGCATTTACCAGGACGAGGGAGATAGCTCAAGGGGTAGAGCACATACCTATCTAGCATGTGTAGGACCATGAGTAATTCCAAGCACCACTTATATCCTCCAACCCCATCTAAGAACCATGGGGTATAGCCCTTGTAGCTCCAGGGTACTGCTCAATGTGGCCGCTGTTTTTAAAAGTGACTTAAAAGGATGGTTCAACATATGCAAATCAAATAACATAATATACAGCATTCATAAAAGGAAAGACAAAAGTCATATAATCATATCAAGTGATGCAGAAGAAACCTGTGACAAGTTCAAACATTTACTCATGATAAAAACCCTCAACAAAATAGGGGTGGAAGGAAACTTTCTTAAGATAATAATTCCCATCTTTAATAAGCCCACAGCTAGTACCATTTTTAATGGTGAAAAACTGAAAGAATTCCCTCTGAAATCAGGTACAAGACAGGAATGCTCACTTGACCCACTTCTGTTCAACATAGTATTAGAAGTCCTGGATACAGCAATCAGGCAAGAAAAACAAATAAAAGGGATTTAAATTGAAAAAGAAGATCTCAGATTATCACTTTAAAAAAATTTTTTTTTAATTTATTGAATCACTGTGGGAAAAGTTACAAAGCTTTCAGGTTTAAGTCTCGGTCATGCAATCATCAAACACATTTCCCTTCACCAATATTTATTTTTCACCATCAAGAACCCCAATAAACCCCCCTCTCAACCCTCCCAATGCCTGTGAGGCAAATGAATTCTAGTTAACACTCTATCTACTTTGATTAGATTCATTGTTCCGACAAAAGATGCACCATTATTATTGAGAGTTTACACCCCCAAATCAGACATGCTGAAGAGGCATTATGAAATAATTTGTTTTCTACAGCTGGTTACAAGAATCAAATGATGTCGCGTGACCACAAGCCAATTTTGGATTTCTGGTATTTTACTTATTAAACCTGGAAGTATTTCTTCTGAGAGTCAGATAATTATGAGATTGGTTTCTGTGGCTCTGGAGCCATGGCTGTGCCAGAGAGCTGCTTGTGGGGGGTGACCTTGGTAGGGTGTGAAGGACGAGCCGGGAATGTCCCCCTTCCCATGAGGTTTCAGTTGCCCCTTCATGACCGGTTTATGCCTGGCTTTCCAAAAAGCTCCGAGGTGGCTGTCATCTTTCTTTCCAGAGGGAAAAAGGTGGAAGGGAGCAACACCCTTTCCCCTCCGGGCAGGCATGGTGGCATGGATTAACGCATAGTTCATTCACTTTTCTGCTGCAAGCTGCCGAGCTCTGCATTAAGTCCTTGTGCTTCTGGAGCCATAGCCATGCCAGACAGCCGCTCGTGGGGGGCAACTCATGACTTCGGTAGGGCGTGAAGGACGAGCCGGGAATGCACCCCTGTCCATGAGGTTTCAGTTGCCCCGTCACGACCGGCTCATACCTGGCTTTCCATAAAGCTCTGAAGCGGCTGCCATCAGATTATCACTTTTTGCAGATGATATGATGATATACATAGAAGACCCTAAAGAGTCCACAAAAAAGCTCCTAGAAACAATAAACCAGTACAGCGGAGTGGCTGACTACAAAGTCAGTATGCAAAAATTGACCACATTCTTATATACAAAGAATGAATTAGAGGAGAAAGTTATCAAGGAATGTATCCCATTTAAAATCATATCAGAACCATGCCTACACCCGCAGTTGCAGCCATGTAAGCCTCATTTCAGAGACTCATAAATCTTGAAAGTGATCAACTAGAGCAAAAATTTCTTGGAAAATCTATAACATGATAGCTTTAAATTACTTAAGAAGAAGATAGAAGACCTTAGGAAATGGAAAAATATCCCATAGTCATGGATTGGAAGAATCAATATTATTAAAATTGCTATTTTCCCTATGCTATTATATAGAATCAGTACTGTCCCTATCTAAATTCAGACATCTATTTAGGATCTAGAAAAGTAAATAAAGTATGTGTCGAATCAGAAAAGACCACGAATAACCAAAGCAATACTGAAAGTTAAGAAATTGGGAGGTATTTTGTTACCTAATTTGAACTGTATTATAAAGCCATAGTGATCAAAACTGCATGGTACTGGAATAAAGATAGACCCTTTCTGATCAGTGGGTCAGAACTGAATACCTTGTGACAAAGCCCCGTATATATCAGTAATTGATTTTTGATAAGGGAGCTGAGAACATGAAATGGAGTAAAGATAGCCTCCAACAAATAGTGCTGGGAAAACTGAATAACTACGTGTAAGAAAGCTGAACTCATATTTTACACCTCACACAAAATTCAGAGTGGAATCAAAGACTTGGAGATCTGACCAGAAACTCTATCAAGACCTGGAGATCTGACCAGAAACTCTAATGTACATTGAGGAAAATATAGGCAGAACACTTCAAGATTTGGACCTTAAAGGAATCTTCAAGGAACTGATAACACTGGTAAAGGCAACACAATAAAAAATAAACAGATGGGGCTAATAAAATTAAAAAGATTCTGTGTGGCAAAAGAAACACAGGATAAATCTAAAAGATAGGTAACTGAATGGAAAAAATATTTACATTTAATACATCAGATAAAGGTTTGATATCCAGAGTATCTAGAGCACTCAAAAAGATCAACAAAAAAGAAATTAAAAAACCCTATTGCCAGGGTCCTGAGTAGTTGACCCAGGCACACTGGAGTATGATCCCCCAGAGTCACCGACTTACTCCCTATAGGAGAGGGAGTGAGTAGGAGAGAAGCCTCTGTCTTGGCTCTCCATGCAACGTGGACTCCAGCAGCCTCAGAGAAAGAATCACAGGGAGGGGGGAAAGCTGGAGGTCAATCAGCAATCCATTTATTATCTCTCACACGGGTTTTTATACATACGTTTTAGGGGCATTCCACACGTGTCACATTTGTCTTGTCAAGCTCAGTACAGATGTCAGTTAATGATTTACATTTTCTGCTCTCAGGGCTGGGTGTGTCAGCACGGGCAGGTGGTAACTGTCATGTCCCTCATCCTGTTATCTCCTCAACCAGAGTGCTTACATGGGTGGAGTGCTGGAGCAAGCCCCCGGGCCCCTGTGAACAGGGCCGTCTCCTGTTTCTAGGGGAAGGGGATTTTTTGGTCAAAGTCTCAGGCTGGCTGCTAAGACCCCAACACCCTATCAGAAATGGGGAGAGAAAATAAAGAGACACTTATCAGAGGAATATAGGCAGATGTCCAATAGGTACATGAAAAAATTCTTAGCATCACTTATCCAAGAAATCCAGTCAAGACAACAATGAGATACTACCTCACAGCAGTGAGAATGGCACATACTAAAAATAGTAGGACAATTTGTGTTGGCGGGAATGTGTTTAAAAAAGGAACTCTAATCCACTGCAGGTAGGAATATTGTCTGGTACATCCCCTGTGGAAAACAGTATGGAGAGTTCTCAGTAAACCTAGAATTGAGCTGCCATATGACTGGTCGAGCAGATAATCTTTGGTTATCTAAACCAGGACTTAAAAACATTCCCTCCAAAGGACATATGCACACCATTATTCATTTGTTGCACTCAGTACAATAGCTAAGATATGGAACCTTGGTGTCCAATGACAGATTATGAAGATACGGTATATATAAACAATGGAATTCTATGCAGCTTCAAGGAATGATGAAATCATGCTATTTGCTGCGACATGGTTGGAATTGGAAAATACCATGTTAACTGAAGTAAGCCAGAAGAAGAAAGACGAACACAGAATGAACTCACTTATCTTTGGTATATGGAATACTGGATGAGGATTATAGTAGAAGGAGGATGCCTAGATCACCTTTTTTTTTTTTTTTTTTTTTGCTTTTTGGGTCACACCCGGCAATGCTCAGGGGTTACTTCTGGCTCATGCACTCAGGAATTACTCCTGGCAGTGCTCGGGGGACCATATGGGATGCTGGGAATCGAACCTGGGTCGGCCATGTTGGCTGTGAGCAAGGCAAACGCCCTACCCGCTGTGCTATCCCTCCAGCCCCTAGATCACCTTTAACCCCAGTGTTTGGAGAGAAGGACAGAGAAGGAATGAAATCAAGGTGGAGGAATAGGAGAACAGGAAGGAGTGGGTGAACAGTCACCAGGGCTTTAGCCATACTGGTGATATGGGTGAGGGGTATAGCCATATATCCGAAGCACAGACTCAGCAAAACTGAAAACATGAGGTCTAAGCTGGAACCACTGAAACTTTGTAAAGTTCCTGTCAAGTTGACAAGCGCAGATGGCTTGGAGGTCTGGCTGGGAGGGAACACGGAAACAACTGGTGGAACGAAGTTGATGCCGGGGTGGGATTGTTGAAATAGTATATTCCTAAAATGTAGCTATTAACAAATTTTTCCAAGTAGCTTAAGATTGTACTGATTGTAGTGAGTACTTAAGATTGTACTAATTGTACCTTAAGAGGTACAATTAATTTGTGTTTTTCCATTGAGAAACATTGATGTAAACATGAACAATTCTAAAAACGTAAAATTGTGGGAAACGGTGTTAAGATTGAAGCTTTTGGAATGGGAAAATGACTGCTGAGTTGGAGCCCACATTTGGGATATGTCTGATTAGAGTAGGGAGAGTTGGTACAGCTGTGCCCTCTACACAGAGGTCCTAGTGGGGCCCTAAACAGGTCTGATGGGGCATAGCTCCCTCCTTAGCCTACCTCTTGCTGAAACCCACCCTACCTGCCTTCTTCATGTAGGTTTGACCATTTCCCTACACCTCCACATTGTCCCACTGCATCTTTTGAAAGTTGCTATTCTGTCAGTTGAGGCTGGAGTTATTCCAGATAACTAACTTCTTGATGACTACCCCTCCATATCTAGACAGCCTTCAGTCAGTTGCATTCTGAGGTGGGTAGTTAGGAAGATATTTTAGGTACTGCAGCACTATTTGGAGAGTGGCCTAATTTCTAAATTTTAAATAATTCTTTTCTGGTAATTCTCTATACATACATACATATATATATTTGTATATATATGTCAGATACATACAAATTTGTGGAGGGGGAATTGATAACTCTAGAAAAGGTACAATGCTACTCTGTCATTTTATCTTGTATGTTCTCATCCAGGAATTTGGGGAATATGGTTTCAGAATCGAGAGATGCAGTTGATTGACAGGCCACTAGGTTAAAAGAATGCATTTCTGAATTAAAAAATTCTCAGATATGGATTCCAGTCTTGAACTTGCTACAGGAGTTCCATGGAGGCTGGCCTCATTTGTAATAGATTCTCATCTTTTGGGTGAAAAATCACATTTGTCATCTTTTTTAAAGGAAAGTGAATTGAAACATTCCTAAAGCATTCGTTTTCTCCTGTGCAAATGAAGATAATAAGCACTGTCTTCGTGGCTGGTTTGAGGATTAACTGAAGCATGTGTTATGGGGCTTGTCACATAGAAAACTAAATGTTTTTTTAGTGGATGTTGTCCTGCTTAGCTCTTTGCTAAGAGATTGATTTGGGGCTGAACGTAAAATGGTTGCCACTTGAATCAGTTCGATCAGAGTCCAGCCTTGAAAGTGCCTTCCTTACTGATGTGTGAGGACTCAGTGGAGGGTCTTTCTCCAAATATTCTAGTTTTTTCTCCAACTTAAAATTCCTATTATATTTTTAGGAGGGGGGCTGGAGCGATAGCACATCGGGGAGGGCGTTTGCCTTGCACGCAGCCAACATGGCCGACCCGAGTTCGATTCCTCCGCCCCTCTCGGAGAGCCCGGCAAGCTACCGAGAGTATTCGATATGCCAGACACAGTAACAACAAAGTCTCCAATGGAGACGTTACTGGGCCCGCTCGAGCAAATCGATGATCAACGGGAGGGCCTAAAATTCCTAATTTATTGAACTTTCTTTCAGCTGATCCTGTTATTTTGCAAAGTTTCTTGCCCTGCTTTGATCGTATTTTCACTATTGGCTTCTCAACGGAAATGTGGCAGTTCATAATAGAAAAACTGGCAAAGAAAGGATTATGGCATGTAAGTAAAAAGAGACAGTTCTCATTTAATCCTTTATTAAATGATTTCTTTCTGTTGTCACTGGGGGATTATAGATTGTTTATCTTATTGACACAACTTTTAAAATTATAACATTAAGGATGGAAAATTGGGGGTGTATATTCATTAGCTAGTTTCCAGTTATTTCTGAAGTAGAAAAAACGGCTCCATGGTGACCTCATGCCTTGCTCTGTTTCTGTTGTCTATAACCATAAAGTTCAGATGCTGATGGCTGTTTATTGTCATAATCCTCTTTTTATTTTATTTTTTTCCATTTTTTATAATTTTATTTATTGAATCACCGTGAGAGCAGTTACAAAGCTTTCGGGTCTAATTCTTGGTCATACAATGAAACACCTATACCTTCACCAGTGCCCATTCTCCACCCCAACAACCCCAGTATACCCCCACCCCACACCCTTCCCCTACCTGTGGGGCAGATGATTTCCACATTACTCTCTCTCTACTTTGATCACATTCAATATTTTGACACCAGACCCACCATTATTATTTGGGATTTTATCCCAACACTCAGATCTGCTGAAAAGGCAACAGTAGACAATTTGTTTTCTATTGTTGGTTATGAATAACATATGATGTCGCGTGGCTGCGGATTTTGAAATTCCGAAATTTTAACACTTAAATCTGGAGGAGTTTCTGCCAAAACCTGCTGGGTTCCGAGATTTGCTCCCGAGTCTCTGGGATCATGGCCGTTAAGCAGCTTGATAGGACCCAGAAAGGCTGTTCGTGGGCGATGACTTGGAGTCTCGTTGCGGTGGGGAGGACAGGACCGGCTCCACCCCCATCCTGTGAGGCCCTGCGTGTCTCGTCACTGCGGGCCCAAACCTGACTGTCCAGTGGCCTCTGGAGGATGATGGCCACCGAGCCACCAGGGGGAAGCAAGCAGAGGGACAACACCCTTTCCTCCCTGGGGAGACCTGGTGACAGTAACCTACTGCATGGTCTGGGCGCATTTCTGCCAAAAGCCTCTGGGTTTCAAGAATTGTTTCTGAGTCTCTGGGATCATGGCCGTTAAACAGCTTGATCAGGAGCCAGAAAGGCCATTCGTGGGCGATGACTTGGGGTCTCATTGGGGTGGGGAGAACAGGACCGGTTCCACCCCATCCCGGTAGGCCCTGTGTGTCTTGTCACTGCGGGCCCAAACCTGACTGTCCAGTGGCCTGTGGAGGATGGCGGCCACCGGGCTGCCAGGGGGAACAGGCCAAGGAACGAAACCAGTTCCCGCCTGGGTTGGCACAGCACCTACTGCAGGGACCGGATGCATTTCTGCCAAAAGCTGCCGGGTTTTGAGATTTGTTTCTGAGTCTCTGGGATCATGGCCATTAAGCAGTTCTGTCAGGAACCAGAGAGTCCATGCCTCCAATTATATAGCTGAGCCAAAGGTGGTTTGTGGGTGTGTTTCCCACATAACCTAACTTTTGGCCATTTACTTTCTTGGTAAACTTTTCCCCAAGTTTTTGGGGTCTGGCCAAAAGCACAGCAGCAATTTTGTGGTATCTGGAAGTCTGAAGGCACCATCAGGCTGCTGATGGACTCGGCTCACAGGTACAGATTGACCTGCTAGTGGCACCATACCCCCCATAATCCTCTTTTTAAATCACATTTGGTGTTCTGTACCCAGGTGACTTGCTTGAGCTTCTCAAGTGGTTTCTGGAGCGTTTTACAGAACTGCTAACTCTATGGTTAGCAGCTGAATGGTACCCAGAGCCAGAAGTCCAGAGAATGGAGCTGAGAGTGGACTGAGGAGTCTGAGTTCCCTGTCTCAGGGTTGTCTCCTTCACTCATAATTCTCCACTTATTATTTCCGACTAATTTCTTCTTGCTGAATCTCACTTCTTCATCTGTGAGTTTCAGGTTAAAAATTACCCTTTGGTGTCTTGGTGAGGATTTAAAAGAATGGAACGTGAGCATCTAATAATAATAGCACTGTAGTACTGTCCTCCTGTTGTTCATCAATTTGCTCAACTGGCACCAATAACATCTCCATTGTGAGCCTTGTTACTGTGTTTGGCATATTGAATACGTCACGGAGAGCTTGCCAGGGTCTGCCGTGTAGGCAGAATACTCTCGGTAGCTTGTCAGGCTTTCCGGGAAGAACGGAGGAATCGAACCCGGTTCAGCTGCATGCAAGACAAATGCCCTACCCGCGGTGCTATCGCTCCAGCCAATAATAATAGCAACTAATATTTGTGGAGGGTATATAATGTGCAAGGCACTACAGTAAAGGAGTTTCATAATGGCAGGCATATGGTAAGTGACCAATAACCGTTTCTGAGACTAGTTTATAAGCACTCATGAGAATAGGGCAGTGAAGTCTGGGACTTCAGTTATAAAGGGTTTCCCAAAGCTGGCAGTCCAGAGAAGTCTCCCAACACAAGAGCAGCCTCAGTGATCTTTTCGGAAAGGTAGTGGGTTCCACGAGGATCTAGTGGTAGGACTTTCTCTGCATGCATATATAGTTTTGGGTGTAGTTCTAGGGGGATCATGGGAAATCCCTCTCAAGTCAAGCCATGGGCTCCTTGCAGCTTATTCCCATGCTAAGAAGTCCTGATAGCAGCTGCTCAAAAGAGTCCTAGGAATCCAATCTAGGTGGCGAGTCAGATATCCTGCCAGCGGTGGGGCCAGATTTTTCTCACATACTAGAGATATGGACTGGAGCGATAGCACAGTGGTAGGGCGTTTGCCTTGCACGCAGCCAACATGGCCGACCCGAGTTCGATTCCTCCACCCCTCTCGGAGAGCCCGGCAAGCTACCGAGAGTATCTCGCCCGCACAGCAGAGCCTGGCAAGCTCCCCGTGACGTATTCGATATGCCAGACACAGTAACAACAAAGTCTCCAATGGAGACGTTACTGGGCCTGCTCGAGCAAATCGATGATCAACGGGAGGGCCTTTACTGGAGATAGGGGCATCTTGGTTTAAAAAAAAAAAAGTCAGACCAGCCATCAGAATTGTTAGAACCCTAGAGGTGTTGTCAGAATTGAGTTGGGGCAATTGGACATTTTTAGGGTGAGGAATTAAAAATAACTGACAAACTGCAAGAACCTGGAAGCAGCCTATGACTAGAGGTTCATTCTGCCCCTGCCATGTTCCCTGGCAAGAGCAGACATGAGGGAAGTTTGTTCTGAGAAGGATCTGGAGCCTGGCTCTCTGAAAGCTGAAGCTGTTACTTGGACATCTCAATAGAAGCTTCTTGTGCTGTTTGTACAGTTTGTGTGATCTGGGAAAAATTGCTGATCAGTTTCTTTAACAATTTTAGGTAAGGTCAACAATGTGTGCTGGGCAGGGGGGAATATAGACAGGAGAGATAGTACAGGGGTTAAGGCCTTGCCTCGAATGAGGCCAGCCCTAGTTTCATCCCCAGCACAGCATATGGTGCCCCAAGACAGCCTGGAGTGATTGTGGACATGGAGCCAAGAGTAAGCTCCTCCTGATATGGGCCAACCTTGCCCCCCTCACAAAAAAGTACTTTTCTGTTTTATTTTCTGTTCCTGAAGTGTAAATACTCTCACAATAGCTGGTTTCTAGTTCTGAATGTAACCACACTGCATGGGCTTGGAAGAAATGCATGGTTAGCTCTTACTAGCTGAGAGAAACTGGTTTCAGCACACTCAAGAGGGTAATAGAGCCAAGAATATATAGATCTTGTGCCTCCCTGAAGTGCCTAAAGGAGTGATTGGAATGGGATATCTGAGAAGCTTAGAATCTTCTGCTTGCCAAGCTTTAAGAACCTTGCAGGGCTGTACTTGGGTACCCGGTGCTTCTTTACTCTCTGCAGTATGACTTGACACGAACTGTATCTGTCCTCAGTGGACTCTTAGGAAATATGGAGAGCGCTTAGGTTTCAGCAAGAACAGGAAGTTCGCTTGACAGAGATACTTTGGTCATCATGGGTCAGGCGGAAAAGCTAGGCCAGTAACTTGGAAAAAAGGAGAGACGTGAACGGGTGTTTTGTTTTAAAAATTAAGACAATCCTGACTGTAATAACTTATATGGGAGCATCAGTTTCTAACATTTTTTCCCTTCTCTCTCATCAGTCATTTCTACTTCTCTCAGCAAAAAAAGATCGACTGCCGAAAAATATCCATGTCCCAGAGTTGTCACTGAAAAGTCTCTTTGAGGTAAGGTGACTTCTTGAAGTATAGTTTCAATTCGGGACACTCAGGTACCTTCCACTTTACCTGCCTTACCACTTATTATTTTTAATAGTCTTAGGTATTCGCCACAAAGAATTCAGGTTTTACTAATTCTGTGCTTTGTGTGTGAAGGAATTTGACACGTCCTGTTGATATAGTGACTTCCATAATTCTTATGTATGTGTGTGTATTTTTTTCCTAGAAATATGCCTTCATTGGACTGTATGAGAAAATGGAGCAGGTTCCCAAGTTAGTCCAGTGGCTCATCTCCATTGGTGCAAGTATTGAGAGTATAGGACCATACCCGCTTCATGCTCTCATGCGACTCTGTATCCAAGCAAGTGAGTGTTTCCCCAGCCACTCACCCTCCAGGCTGCCTTTCCAGTTCCCAGTTCTGGGAATCTGCTGAGCTCGAGTGAAACCAAGCATGACCACTGGAATGCAGAATATTTAAAGTTATTTGACCATTTGGATACTTTGATTATTCAGACGTATGCAGGCAGCAGGGAAGTAGCCCTCATTTTCGTGATTCTTGGGACCTAGTAGTGATGGGATCCTTGCAAATAGGACCTCTGGAGGGGATTGACAACTGGTAACCTTTGCCTAACAGAGCTCCACAGAAACTGGGGGTAAAGGCAGCTCTGGTTTTTCACCTCAGTTTGGTCAGGTTCTTTTGCTATCCCGGAGGACCACCCTATGTGGAGGGTTAGGGGGAGGGGATGAATCTCTCGGAAGTACTGGCTATTGCTGACACAGTTTGCTTGTGATTCTTTCAGAGGACTCCAATTTTCATTAAATTATTATTTTTCTTAAATCTTTGTTGCATTGCTATAGGATTTAAATTTTTAAAAAATATTTTAAAGTTTATCATTAATACACACATACATGTTCTCATACATACACAAACACTTCCACTTTGGACAGAAGATTTTTTTTCCCCACCAAGTATATATGGCATCACTGTGGCATTGTTTTATATCTGGAGGAGGCCACAACACTTGTCCACACTGCCAGAGGGCAGGAGTGTGGCAGTGGCTTGGAGATCCAGACCCCCCCTTGACTTCAGGCAAATTTGTTCTGTTGTAGACTATACTTTTCCCATACTGTATTGGGGACCTTATGAGAGATTTTATTCATTTTTTAAATTCTAAACAAATATGATTAAAGGCAATCTTATTCATTCCTCCCACTTTCACAGTAGGAGGCTGGACCCCAGAGAAGTGTATCTGCAGTTGTGCAAGTCATGGTTCTTCATTGTGTCTGATCTTTAAGTTAGTTCCTGGGAGTACAGGCAGGTATTGGGAAGAGCCGGTCTTCAAGCGTCCTGGGTATGTTTCTCAGAGGAAACCGAAATTTGATGACAAACGGTATTCATGGAGTTGATGCAAAAGTTCTCCTACTGGAACATTGTCTCCCAAAGTGGGTGATAATGCCAACCCCCACACCAGAGCGAGGGCTGCTAGAACAATCCAGGGCGATGCCAGTAACCTTGGGTGCAGCAGTTTTTGCTTGTTACTTAAAGAAGATATCTTGGGTGCTAGTGATATATATATATTTTTCTTTCTGAAAGGGAGCCAATAGGCCAAATCCTTTTGATCTAAAAGCTGCAAGAAAGGAGTCTGGGAAACAGATTTTAATATATGGTCCTATTGACAGTGGTGTAGCATGGTGATCCAGCCAGAGATTCTGATTTGACTGCTGACCTGGGCACAGTTAGTGACCTGTCCAGGCTCTCTTCACCATGCTCAGGATACCCATTCTACTGTAAACCTGCTGTGCCCTCTAAGAGAATTTCTTTTTACCAGTAGAACACCACTTCCAGAAAGGCTCCCTGTCAAGTTCCCTCCTCACCCCATCCCTCTTTCCCCTTCCTCCTGCCTCCCTGAGGCCGAGTTGCCACTCCTGACGCTCAGCGGGTCACTCCCAAGTTCTGTCACTCCCAAGATCTGTCACTCCCAAGTTCTCTGTGCTCTGCTCCAATCTGTGACGCAGTCTCGCTCCGCTGCACCCGGAGTACTGGCTGACCCCACTCCCTTGTCTGGCTTCTTCCCAGGTCCTGTTTTTCTCACTCTATGTCCTCATTTTCCTCCCCCCAATATATCAAGGATCCTGTCTTGGGCTCTGCCCAGGATATCTGGTCACCCTCAGTTGAGCGCACATGGACTTGCTCTGCTGCTTTTCTTCCTGGAGACAATAACACCAGTTGCTCATTTTAATTCCCTCTAGGGGAAAACCATCTTTTCAGGTGGCTCATGGATCACAAGCCCGAGTGGAAAGGCCGCATCAACCAGAAGGATGAAGATGGCTGCACTGTCCTGCATATGGTGGCCACCCACGCCCCAGGGCACCTACTTAAGCGTAAGTGCAGCACCTTGATGGAGGGTGTGTGGCTAGGGGATGGACACAGGGGCCACTGTGCTTTCTGTGTTTCCTTCCATGGGGATCATGCTTTGCTGTGAATCAGACATCACTGGCTGTGTGCACAGGTGTGAGGTGAGGGAAGTATTGCTGGGCCCCCTTGTGCTTTCTTGGCCTTAAACTGAATCGTGGGGGTGGGGGGCGGTGAATAAAGGATGTGATTCTCAGGCTACATTCGTTCCCTCTGTCGGCTCCACCTGCTTTAGTTTGTGCTAAATCTGTGTGAGTCACCGGGGGTAAAGTGTGAACCAGACAACAAAAACTTGGTCCTACCTTCATGATACTTAGAATCCAACACTGAACTCCCACATTCTCCCATATTCCCAAGTTCCACATGGGCCATGAGGGAGAGTAAAGAGGAGCCAGTTCTTTTGACGAAGACTGCCCAGTTAGCTGTTGAAACAAGAAGACCACTCTACTTCTATGTGGTTCTCTGTGTCTCCCCTCCCCCCCCGCCCCCACCCCGGAGTTCTCAGGGCTCTAAGTCTTTGCTACTTTCGATAAAGAAAAATTTTTTTTTCTAAAAAAATTTAGGTTGCTCTGAGGATAAATGGTAGTGGCCACTCGGCCTCCAGTGGCAGGTCGTGGTGGTGGTGGGGATGATGGAGTGTGATGGGCAGCTTGAACCCAGCTTGCACTATGCAAGGCGTCTTACGTGCCTGTAGTCTGGAACCATCATCCCTGCCTCCGGCACCATCATTTCCCAGTGACAAAAGGTCATGGAAGTCTGGATGTAAAAATAAAATAAGAAAGCAGATGAACAAAAAAGGGAGGCTCAAAGCTAGAAGGCTCCCATTTAGGAGCCTCGAGTCCAGTGAGTCCCCTAGGGAGCTGCAGTTCTTTCCAACCTGTTCCAGGAGGAGCGCGGTGATGTCTGGCTCTCCAATGCCATTGTTGTCTGAGCTGGGTCCTGGGACTTGAATGCTCGGAAAACCAGAGAAATGATTTTCTACAGACTTGGTTATTACTAATTAATTAGTAATTTTTGAGTCTTCTTGACATACAATTTTTATGGCACACAACTGAGTACACTGCTTTTTCAGTAAATTCATAGTTGATTGGCCACCACTGCAGTCAATTGTAGAACATTTTTAATTTCCCCCAAAGAAACTTCAAATCCATTAGCAGTTATTCCCCACTTCCTCCTATTCCTTCCAAGCTACCACGGATCAACTTTAAGTGTCTATTGACTTGCCTGTTCTTGTACCTTTCATATATGGGAGCATCTGTGACTGACATCGTTAAGGGAACACAATGGACAAACTGGCAGGTTACCTACTTTGGACAAACTGGCAGGCTACCGAATGTAACCTGCCCACACGGCAGAGTCTGGCAAACTACCTGTGGTGTACCCAATATGCCAAATACCAGTAACAAAATATAGTATAATTATAAATTGATGGGTTTGTTTTTAAGATGTTTATTATAAATTTGTGTATTTTATCCTGGGCCAGGGATCAAACTCAGAGCCTTAGACATGTGCTTTACCCTGTGTGAACCAGACAACAAACTTGGTCCTTCCCTCATGATACTTAGAATCCAACACTGAACTCCTACATTCTCCCATATTTTCCCACATAGTAATTTTATATGACCCCTGATTAATTTAGGTTTTAATAATGGTCATATTTGTGTATGAACTCACAGATACTCAGGACATTTGAAAGTTGAGTCTTAAGGACTGGGATGAACTAAATGCAGGGACCATGCTAAAGTTATTATTAGCCTAGTGATTTATAGTTTAAATTTAAGCCTCCAGTCATTCTGTCCTCCTTACACATCTCTATGCTGAAAATACTCAAGAAAATGTATTTCCAGGCAGAAATCTTTGGTTTGCAAAGAAATTATAGGTTTTCTGAAATGCTTGATGGTTTGAGGATGAGTAAAGTGTTTTTTTGTTTCATATTTAACTTTGGGGCCATATTCAGTAGTGTTCAGGGTTTACTCCTGACTCTGTGCTCAGGGATCACTCCTAGGTATTCAGACGACCATATGTGGTCCTAAGGATTGAACCCAGCTTGCACTATGCAAGGCGTTTTACTGCTGTACTATATCTCTGGTCCTAAATGATGTGTATTTCATATATCTCCTGTGCTGTGGATATTAACTGTAAGTATTGATAACTTGGCAAGCATTCCATTTCCTGACATTTTAACCAATGTGGTTCAAATCAAACCTTATGATAATCATGTATACAGTTTTACAATTTCCTAGTCTACAAACTAAAAAAGCAAAGCAAAATAGGTAAAACTAGTTTTATTAATATAGTTAATTTAACCCATTTATCCAACACATCAGAACAGCGCAGTCTCCTGCCCCCGCGCCTGGCTGTCCTCACCAGGGCCCCTTGGAGGGGGGAGGGTTAAGTTTCTCTCCTCCCCCCCCTCCCCCCCCCCGCCGCTCCAAGCAGAGCCCCAGCAGCTGAGGACCTCTGGAGCCAGCCACGGCCATGCTGGAACCACCCTCCACACGTCCGGACGGGCCTCATGCATGAAAGAACTGGCAGAGGAACCCAGGCATGCGGGTCCCAGGATTGAGGTCTCCAAGCCTACTCGGATTGGGATTGGGCCTTCTCCAACCAGACCCCCCATCTTCCAGTAGGTAGGTGTCACACCCACCAGCTGCCACCAGCACCAGGTTGGTTCAACGGCCAAGATGCAGAGACTATAAAACCCAGCTCCCGGACATCTTACTATCTTATTTTTTCTTTGGAGAACCTGGCAGGCTACCAAAAGTATACTGCCCACACAGCAGAGTCTAGCAAACTTCCCATGTCGTACTCAATATGCCAAATACCAGTAACAATGATGGGTCTCATTCTCGTAATCCTGAAAGAGCATCGAAATGGCTCTTTTAAAATCTCAGGGCTAGGAAGAAGGAGACGTTACTGGTGCCTGCTCGAGGAAATGGACGAACAACAGGATGATCGTGATCGTGATCCCACCATCATTTTTCCTTGCTTCCTTGGAGATGATTTTAAGGATCTAGTTTTATCTTTTCCCAAATAGCCACCTATTATTTATCTCAGCATCATTTATTCAAATAAATCTGTTGTAGGGCCAGAGAGCTAGTAAGGGACCGAGGTACATGCCTTGTATGTGAGCAATTTTGATTTGATCCCCAGCACCAAATATGGATTCCTGAGTACCACCAGGATTGACTTCCGAACAGAGAGCTAGGAGTAAGTCCTGAGAATCAAAACCCCCCAAAATCTGTTGTGACATCAAGAATTTGAGATGCTACTAATTTCTTGACTTTATTCCCTTATCCTATTGGTTTCTTTGCTTTTCATGTACCTTTTTTTTGTGAGCTGGAGAGATAGCACAGCAGGTAGGGTGTTTGCCTTGCACACGGCCAACCAGGGTTTGGTTCCTCCATCCCTCTTGGAGAGCCCGGCAAGATACTGAGAGTATTCCGCCTGCATGGCAGAGCCTGGCAAGTTCCCCGTGACGTATTCGATCAAAAACAGTAACAACAAGGCTCCAAATGGAGACATTACTGTTGCCCGCTCGAGCAAATTGATGAACAACTGGAGGACAGTGGACAGTGCAGTGCTTCGTGTACTACAGGCTTCTTTTAATCACCATTTAGAGAACTTGTTTAAGAGAATTCAAAGTATGCTTCCAACAAAGATAACTAAAATAAAGTTAGTTGTGTATTTAAGATTGCAGTAAGGATGTAGAAGAATTGACATGACTGGTAAATATAAAAAATGAAAGGAATAAAAATGACAGATCTACTTTGGAAAAGTTCTGACACTCAATAAAGTTAAAATATGGGAGTCCGAGAGATAGTATACAGGTAAGGCATTTGTGTTGCACATGGCCAACTTAGATTTGATCACTGGCATCCTATATGGTCTCCCAAGTCCCACCAAGAGTGATACCTGAGTAAAGCCAGGAGTAAACCTTGAGAACCACTTGGCATGACTCCAAAAAAAGTTACCATATGATTCAGCAGCATTACTTGGAACAAAACCTGTATGTTGAAATGTTCACAGAAACATTCATAATGTCCTCCACAGTGGAAATAACCAAATCTCCATTGATTAACAAATCGGGAAAAAATGTGGTATAGCCATTCACTGGATTATTAGTCACTGGATTATTATTCAGATTATTATTAACCAGCTCCCAGAACCGCGCGGCCGCGACATCTTATTATGACATCTCATTCCTACTTTGACAAACTGGCAGGCTACCGAATGTAGCCTGCCCACACGGCAGAGTCTGGCAAACTCCCCGTGGCGTACCCAATATGCCAAATACCAGTAACAATGATGGGTCTCATTCTCCTAAAGAGCCTTGAATATAATCTCAGGGCTAGGATGAAGGAGACGTTACTGGGGCCTGCTCGAGGCAATCGACGAATAACAGGATGATCTCTGATCTGTGATCTGTGATTATTCAGCCACGAAAAAGTAGTCAGACATTGATACATGCCACTAGGTGGATAAACCTAGCCCAAAAAAAAATCTGTAGAGTTTGATTGGCCCAAACTTCTGTGTATTAAATGATCCTACGTATATGAACTATCCGAAGTGAGGATATCTATTGAGTCTGGAGAAGGTAGTGGAATCATTACTAATGTGTATAAGCTTTCTTGTTAGATGAAAATATTCTGGCATGGATAGTGGTGATGACAGTAAATCCCTATTGTTTAGTATAAATTGTTTAGTATAAAATGTTTACTTATGATAAGATAATTGTGTCTTTTGTTGATATTTGGGGGGAGTGGTACTAAGGGATTTTTCCTGGGTCTGTACTTGATGGAACTATGTGGTGCCAGGGATTGAATTGGCATCTTCTATATATTAACCATGTTCTTCAGCTCATGGAGCTATCTTTCCTGCCTTGAAGTGTATCCTAATCCAAAATAATTCAAACTCCTCATCACCTACCCCACAAAAAGGGAAGTGATTACTATTGGTTAAAAACAAAATAAAACACTACTCAACCACTTCAAAAATATCAGAATTTGGTTCAGGTGTTCCAAAATTATATGTAAGAATCTATCTTAGGGGCTGGATAGATAATATAGGGGTAAGGCACTTACCTGGCATGCCACTGGGCTGGATTTGATCCCCATATGGTCCTCTGAGCATACCCTGGGATGATCTCTGAGCATAAAGCCAGGAGAAAACCCTAAGCACTGTTGGTGTTGCCTCCACAAACCAAAACTAAACAAAATGCATCTGTCTTACCTCTTAGTCCTGCTTGTTTCTGATTTTTCTGTATTGAGTTCATTTTTAGAGGATAATTTCTAACATTTCAGGGAAAGCCCTAGGAATGAGTGTCACTGACTTGAATTTGTGTATCTGTCCTCTATAAGCTAATTACTAGAGCCAGAGGATGGAATGATATGATTGGACAGATCTTGTTCCCGTTGTTTGTCCTTGAAGAACTGGATAATGGACAGAGCTAGGGAACGGAATGGGTGTGATTGGTCTGGTCTTGGTCACATGTTTGCCCTCTGGAGTGGGGGTGGGGCAGAGCTAGAAATGGAATTATTTGATTGGCCAGGCTTTGGTCAGATGTTTACCCTTGGAGCAGGGCCATAGGGTAAGAGTCAGAGGAGGGAATTATCTAATTGGCCAAGTTCCCTCCCTGAAACAGTGGCTTGGTCTGTGGTAGCAGATGAGGTGTTCTGAGGTGTTGTGTTCTGACTCTCAGACCATTTGGGGCTGCTGTGGGGAAGCGATGCTTTCTTGATGATGGGATGGGGTTGGAGGAACTGGGGTTTGATGTTCAGGAAAAGTGGAAGTGAATATTAGTTAAAAGTTAGGGGGGAAAGTGCAGTTTTGTGTAGTCTCCAAATTTTGTGTCCTTATCCCTGTGAAGAATGTCGGGAAAATGTATGTAGAATGTTCCATCTGTTACTTTGAATGGAAATAAAGATAATTTTAGGATTGTGTTCACGTTGTTTTAACAAAACGATTACCTCTTGACATGTAGTGTCATAGAAAGAACATTGTGATGGTTTTTAGTACCCATTTTAAAAAAATTGTGGATGAAAATCTACTAGTAAATGTGTATTCCTTTTTGTAGCTCCCGTTTCTAGCATGGTTTTGAAAGAACGGATGTCCCAATATATATTTTTCCTTTCAAGACTTATTGGTGATGTTTTTATGGAATGCAAATTCGCATATAACTTTAAATTTTGACAAGTTTCCATGATTATATGACCCATAGGGGTTAATTTTTTCCCCCTGAATGGAATCATGGCTTAAGTTACTACTATAGAAATGATCAACAAAGCAGAAACATATGGGAAATCTCTGTAGGTAAAAATAAAGACAAACATTTGGGAGAGGCATGACCAGCGCCTGTTTTCTCCAGGTGGGGCCGGGAGTTCTCAGCTGCTTTGGGGCAGTTCCCGGTGGTCATTGTCTCTGTTCTTCATAGAATCTGGCAAGTCACCTTCAACTTGGCAAGTAGTCTGGGGTGACAGAACTAACTTTCTACCCTGCCTCTGAGCAGATGCCAAGAAAGGCCTAGCTGTGCTCTGGTCTCTCTCCAGCAGCGTGGCTGGACAGAGTCCAGTTCCTTTTGTGGCAGGATCCAGGACCTTATTTTCATGTGGGTTTTCAGCTTGCCTGTGGCCTGGAGCCCACAGGAGAGAATTTTCTTGTGCGTCACATCTCTCTCATACTTTGGTTCTCTACACTCTGGAATATTCCTGTGATTAGGTCAGGCCCACCCTGATATTCTGCCTTCCAAAGCTCAGCGTTTTGGGATTTTGAATTCTGTTTGCAAAATCTCACTACTAGTAATAAAATTTCATTGTATCACTAGTGATTTGAATAACTGGGAGAAGGAGGGTGTACACTGTCAGTCTGGTATCTTAGGATCCATCTTAGATATCAGTCTCTAGGGAGACTTGATGGGTCAGAAGTGTGACTTCGTTTGGTCCCACTTTTGCACAGTGGGAGAAGGACACACATAGGTGGAAAGACAGGGAAGAACAATACCATGAGCAGAGTGATAGCCTGAGTCCAGGTGCCTGCCCAAGGTGTGAGCTTTAGGAAAGCTGATGTCAGGAAGGTGAGGGCCAGGCATTAGTTTATTTAACTGCATCCATATAGATCTTTGTACCCCTGGAATACTCTGTTCCATTCTGTAAAGCATTGCATCTGTGACCATAGAGACACCTCGATGCTCGGCAAATAGATACGTCAAAGCAGCAAATGGAACTGGCATGGCTGTGGGGGGGCCTTGGAAGATAGAAACAGTGGCCACAAAAAGACCCTGATGTGGACTCAATTAACACTTTTTTTTCCTGTCTCCAGACAGGCTTTTTCTTGTCCCCCCTTTTTTTTTCTGGAACAATATTCTGTTTCCTCTCTAGGGAATAAAGAAATCTGAAGTCACAGCTTGCTGTTATCCTTACAGCTGTAACTGTTGCCTAGTAACCAGATCCCCCCTCTCCTTGCTTGTTGCCAAGGAGAGGGGAGAAAGGTAGAGAGGAGCGTACTTCTGAACCTCTTAAAAGCTATTGTCCTTCCCACGCCACGCAGGACTCCATGCTTCGGGGAGTTGGATGGCCGGTCCAGGGCTGGTGGTTCAGGTTCCGTGAACAGAGGGGTCTCACTCCCTTGGCCCCGGACTGCACAGGCAGGGGACTGGGAGGAAGCACACTCATGGGGACGTCTCCTTACGGAAGGAACCATGACAACCCCCCCTTGTCGTTTTGGCCTACTCTAGGACAAACAGAGGGTGTTCAGATGCTCCTGCGCTTTGGGGCAGACCCCACCCTGTTAGACGGACAGTCCCGTTCCGTTGTGGATATCCTGAAGAAGAATAAGAACTTCAAAGCCATTGAGAAGATCAACAGTCACTTGGAGAAGCTAGCTGCATGTTCTAAGGACCTATCAGGTACAGTTGTCAGGGAAATGAGTATTTTGAGTGTGTGTGTGTGTGTGTGTGTGTGTGTGCGTGTGCGCTCGCGTGTGTGTGCGTGCGTATGCGCGCGCGCGTGTATGTGTGGTGGGAAGGATTAAAACTGGTTCTGTATAAATCAGATTTATTTTTTTTGGTATCTGAGGATGGTAGTGAATCCCCTCCTCCCAGTCTTTGGGAAACTTGATTGCTTTTTTTCTTTTGAAAGCTGGATTGAGGCAATTTATATTGAGAGAGTGTCTACGATATTCTGGGAACTTCACCAGGTCCACCTTTGGATGGCATGATGATTTTTTTTTTCTGTACATGCACACAGTAAAAAAAGAAAAAAAATAAGGCAGTAGTGGAGATCAAAATCATGACTTCTCAAAAACACTGTAGCCAACAATTTAAAATAAAATGAATCTCAATTCTTTTAAAATCTGTTTGGGACAGCACACTATAGAAATAAGTGCAACAAGTCAGCCTTACTTGATAATTTTGTCTAATAATGTTCTTCATGCCATTTACATTCTCTTTGCTAAAAAACACTTCATTATTCATAATCTACAGACTGTTTCTGAAAGTAAAAATCCAGTGAATGGCATTTGCTCACTAGTATGATTACATGTTACTTTTCCTATAGCTATTGCTACATATAATTGGACCCACCTAAGCATACACAAAATATATATGTACATGCATATATGTGCGTGTACACACATATATGCCTGTCTACATGTGTGCTGTTTAAAGTTCTGGTGCTCTCGTATGTCTCTGGCTTTGTTTTAATCTCTGCTAGTTTGCCTTCATGGGTCGGGGGTGTGGATAGTAGACTCATGGAGTTTTGAAATGCCTTTATTTCATCTTACCTTCATGATTACTTTGAGTATAGATATTGCTCTTCATCCATTCAAAGTTTTGTTTTTCCCTACGTGTCTAAACCTTTGAAACTAACTGTTTCACAATCAGTGACATGCCACCATCTATCTAATGGCTGCCTTCTCTCCCAGATTTGACAGTCCTTGCTGTCTTAAATTTATAAAATAACTTGTACCATAAAACCTTGTTCCTCAGAACTCTGAAGTGGTTGTTTCATTGTATTACAGCCCCCGATGGCTGCTGTCTGTTGCCAGTTATTTTTCCCTTCTTTTTTCTTTAGAGTTTAGAGTTCTGAAATTTCTCTAGATGTGTCCTAAGTGTGGGTCCTTATTCATTCTTAGTGGTTGCAAACTTATCTTATTATTTTATACCCCTCAAATGTCTTTTTCTGCTTGTAGACACAACTGTTAGATGATTGAGTTTCCTAGATTTATAACATGTCTCTCTACCTTCTAATGTTTCTTATTCCCATTTTTCCTTCCCAGATATTTAATTTGATCCCCAGATTTTAATTTTTTGTTCGTTGTAAAATCAGCAGACTTTTGCTGGTTTTACCTTTGCTGATTTTATACTCTGAATTGATTGATTACATGTTACTTTTCCTATAGCTTGAATGCATTTAAGAATAGTAGAATTTTTTTTGAAAGTCTGACCTCTTGCTCTGAATTATTCATTCTATCTGAGGTTGATTCATTTCTTACTCTTTCTTACTATTGCTTCTCCCTAATTACCTTCTGATATTTGTATAGTTATATTTATGAAAAAGGCCCTCCCGTTGATCGTCGATTTGCTCAAGTGGGCCCAGTAACGTCTCCATTGGAGACTTTGTTGTTACTATGTCTGGCATATCGAATACTCTCGGTAGCTTGCAGGGCTCTCCGAGAGGGGCAGAGGAATCGAACTCTGGTCGGCCATGTTGGCCACTTGTAAAGCCAACGCCCTACCCGCTGTGCTATCGCTCCAGCCCATGTTGACTAGTGCTTAATAAATGGTAACTGGCATTTACTGAAGTTATTTCTGTGTGTTTCTCCAGAAATATTTCCTCTATGAAATGGATATGTAGGTGGTAAGTTGAAGGCAGCCTGTTAAATGTGTGTCGGGGTGGGAGTAGGAGCAGTTGGACAGACTAGAATCATTCCATTTCCTGGGTCAGGAAAGTTTGATGTAGGGGAGATTAAAACGACTCTTCTTCATCAAACATCCTCTCATTTCCTCATATGGGTTGAAATTACTGATTTGAAAGGATCTATGTTGTTTCCATGGTAGGTCAGGCAGCAAAATACTTATGGATGTCTTTGTGTGTATATGTGTGTGTGTGGGGGGGGGGGGTTGGGGGGAGGAAGTATCTCCCAAGCCATGCAGTTATAAGCCAGCCAGGCAGGATCAATGCAAGGGCCTCAGGATGTTGTGTTCCTCAGACCCTGTGATGCCAGGAGTGTTACTTAGGCCATCCCAGCCATGCTCTCTGGGACCACACCTGGGAATGTTCTTGGGGCCAGGTGGGAATTGAGCCCTGGTTGGCTGCATTCAAGACAAAGATTCCATCCTTTTTTCTTTTTCTTTTTTTTGGTGGAGGGAAACTTTCCCAAACCTCTTAAGCAGTGCTTGGGGGCCCTCTCTGTGAATGTTGACTGATGAGCTGGTGATTCAGTGCAAGGGCCTGACACTGCAGATGAGGTGCTGGATCACTGTGGTTCTGGTGGTTACCAGGGTGACCCCTGTGGTGCACAGGAAATTCCAGAGCTGCACCTGGAGGTGCATGTGGTGACCAGGGAGTAAATTGTGGCTTACCTCATGCAGAATGTGCACCTTAACATCTGCTCTAATGTCCTTTTAAAGCTGTGGCAGATAATCTTTAGTTTTTATTATTTTGAAAAATAGTGATTTATTCAGTGAAATGCTTTCTGAAAGCTTGTTCCTGTAGTGTCCATTTTCATAAAACCAAGACAAAAGTATCTTTGCCAGTGAATCTCCAGGTTTTAAAATTATAAAAATGGGTCCAGTGAGTAGTAGGAAATGGCTTGCAAATTTTTTTTTATTAATTCTAATCTAAATTCTTAGACTGTTATTTGTTATGTATGTATTTAGTATTTAAGGTTACAAGCTTTTATGCCATTCATTTCTATTTAGTTGTTTTTTTCTAAAAAATACTTCTTTTTTTTATTGAAGTAACTAACGTTGATTTATAACACTGTCATTGTCACTGTCTTCCTGTTGTTCATTGATTTGCTTGAGCGGGCCCAGTAACATTGTGAGAGTTGTTACTGTGTTTGGCATATCGAATACGACACGGGGAGCTTGCCAGGTTTTGCCGTGTGGGTGAGATACCCTCGGTAGCTTGCCAGGCTCTCCGAGAGGGGCGGAGGAATCGAACTCGGGTTGGCCGTGTAGGCCGCTTGTAAGGCAAACGCCTTACCCATTGTGCTATCGCTCCAGCCCGATTTATAACACTATACAGGTTTAAAATAAAAAGTCTTATAAATCAGCATCTGCTACTCACTACCAAAAGTCTAGTTTCCATCTATCACCATGGAGTTGATCTTCTTTTTGCCAGTTCACACCTACTCCTTCACCTTCTCCTCAGGTAATCCCTGTGGATTTTTTGTTTGTTTTTGAGCCACAACCAGGATGCTCAGGGCTTACTCTGTGCTAAGACATCATATCCTGGCAGGACTCAGGGTGCTAGGATTGAACTCAGGTTGGCCACATGTGAGGCAACCCACACTCACTGTTATGTCTATCTGTCTCCATCACTAATTTTCTGCATATATACACATATGTACATATGTACATATATACATACATGTGTGTATATATACATATATACATATATATATCTCACATCTTTGTGTACTTCTTCCTTTCTTCCTTGATAGTTACTTGCGTTCTTTCCAAGCCTTGGTTATTGTGAATGGTGTTGCAGTGAAATTGGCTGTGCAAGTCCCTACATCATCACTGTGGATTTCATGACAGATGTTTTTACAAATTTTTTTTGGCGAAAAAGTTGCTGCCATTGTGTGAGCTTTAAAAAAAACTGTTCCAGTATTATTTAAAAATTACCTGGTTGGATCCTTGGCACTGAGTATGGTCCCCTGAGCACTGCCAGGGGTCACTCCTTAGCACCAAGCTGGGAATAACTCCTGAGTACCATGATCTATTACTAAATTGTCTTTAGTGCAAGATTAGGATGCAAGAAATACCTGTGAATATATATTAAGTGAAATGAGTCAGAAAGAGAGGAACAGATGTAGAAAGATTGCACTCATTTGTGGAATATAAAGTAATAGAATGCGAGACTTACAAGTGCTTTACTTCCATACCATCTTTATGCCCCCTTGAGCGTTTTTTATGCTCATAAATAAATTTTGGATCTTGTCAAGTGATTGTTCTGAACCTGTCAAAATGATTGTATAATTTCTGTCCTTTTATTGTGATATGTCAACATTTTCTGACTTGCATATATTGAGCTATAATTCCATCCCTGTACTAGATATTGCTTAGGTTTGGTTATTATCCTGTGTGTGTGTGTGTGTGTGTGTGTGTGTATGGGGAAACCATATGTGTGTGTCATAACTGGCTGTTCTCAAGGGCTGTTTCTGTATCTCTGCACAAAAGTGATTCCTGGTAATGCTCAGAGATCCAGCTGGGTTGCTGGTGATTGAACAGGTGTCTGACACATGCACCTTAACTTCTGTACTGTATCTCTGGCTCAGATTCTTTTAATGTTGAATTTGTTTGCTAAAATTTTGTCGAAGATGTTTGTGTCCATGTTTATCTGAGATTATTAGTCCATAGTTCTATCCTGAATGCGTGATTTGCCCAGTTTGGGAATCTGGGTAATGTTGAAATAAGTTAGAAAGCATTTTCTACCCTTGAGTTTTTTTGAGAGTTTGTAAAGGATAGTATTCCACTTTCCTTGAATGCTTAATAGAACTCACCAGCAAAGTCATCTGGTCCTGGATTTTGTTTTTAGAGAGGATCTTGATTTATTGTGTCAGTTTAGTTGTAGTGATAAGCCTATTCAGATTTTTCTTTTTTATTTGATTCTTTAAATGATGAAATTCTAAGAATTTATTGTTTTATGGTCTTGTCAAAAATTCTCATAGATAAAATGC